AGCTGCTACTTTCACTCCTATGTCTTCAATGCCTCACTGTTCCCACTACACAACAGTGGCAATGAAGGTGGGATTATGCTGCTAGGAAGAAAAGAGCTGGAGGACTTTGAGCTAAGAGTCACTAAGGAGTAAGACCAGGCATCAGCACCCTGGTTGGAACAGCGTTCCCCCCCTTCTGCCTGCCAGTACGTAAACGCTGGAGGCATCACTATCCTAAGGATCCGTCCTAGGATACACACAGAAGCCCTAGCAGCATAAGGCATTGGAGACACAGTTACAGCCAGCCATAGCTTATTATTCAAGGACACTTTCCCCCGGGGAAAGAAATTATGCTAAAATTGATAAGGAGTCATTAGCCATAGAAGCTGGAATAAAGAAAATCCACAATTTCCTTTATGGTTGCCCATTTACGGTCTTTACAGACCACAAGCCTCTTCTAGGTCTGTTTAATGTAGACAAGCAAACCCCTCATATCCTTTCTCCAAGGATGCTGAGGTGGTCAATCTTTATGGCAGCCTACAATTACAGGCTAGTCCATAAGCCTGGCAAGGAAATGAGCCATGCTGATGCACTCAACAGGCTGCCCCTGCCTAATTCAGAACTAGACGCCGCACCTGCTGTATGCATCCTGTCAATTCAGGATCTGCCAGAATCTCCCCTTCATGCAGGGGATGTGGCTGCTGAGACAGCCACTGACAAAACACTCAGTCATGTTTTGAACTGGGTGCTGAGGGGGTGGCCAGGAACCAGTCCTGGGACAGAATTTCAGAGCTTCTTCAGAATACAAGATGAGCTGTCTGCATACAAAGGATGCATTCTATGGGGGAGTAGGGTTATAATCCCACACACATTAAGGGAAAGAGCCTTAGAATCTCTGCATGAGGGACATCCTGGAATAGTCAGGATGAAGGCACTTGCGAGAAGCTACCTATGGTGGCCAGGGTTGGATAAGGATATAGAAGATCAAGTTAAAGGATGCCAAGTTTGCCAGCAGACCAGATCTGAGATGCCACAAGCCCCAGTACATCGCTGGGAGACCACGCAGACCCCTTGGTCTAGGATTCACGTAGACTATGCTGGACCTTTCCAAGGACAGGTGTTCCTCATTGTAGTGGACAGTCACTCAAAGTGGCTTGAGGTAGCACCTGTCCCTACCAGGACCATCCAGAAACTGCGCAGAATCTTTGCCACACATGGCTTACCTGATGTAATTGTATCAGATAATGGGGCACAATTTACTGCTGCTGAATTTCAGTCATTTCTAAGGTCTAATATGATTAGACATGCCACCTCTGCCCCATTTCACCTGGCCTCTAATGGTCAAGCGGAGAGGATGGTCAGGACGACCAAGGAAGCACTTAAAAGAATAACACTTACCATATTTAGAAATTGTCACTAACAATAACATTTTATACCTTCTATTTTTTTCTTTGATATATGATCAGGTTTATTCATGTTTTAGTACAAGTCTCTAAAATGTCCACAACTCTATTTTTAAATGTATATTATTGATTTCTTCTGCCAGGGAGGGTCCAAGAAGAAATTGCAAAAGAGATTGGGGTTCATCAGCCAAGGACAGAAGATTGAGTTAAAATGTCTTACACTGATGCAGTAATTCATGAAGTTCAAAGGTTTGCTGATATTGTTCCAAGCAATTTGCCACATGCAACCACCGAGGACATAACTTTCAAAGGCTTCTTCATCCCCAAGGTAATCAGTCTGAAATCGTTACATTACACAAGATCTAGTCTATTTTTTACAGTATAAGGTAGAATTTCGCAGTTTTACTAACTATGGTAGTTAAAATCTTTTTAACGTGTGTATTTTTTCATGCTTATCATATACCTCTCATTATTTAAAAATCCATACATTTGCAATATCTCTTTTAAAATTTCTAAAAATTTCTATGGCAATGTATTAAATAGACACACCCTTAAAATAGTTCTTTCTCTTTCAATGTTTAGGGAATGCAGATTGTTCCATTGCTGTCATCAGAGTTCCATGATGAATCCCACTGGGAGAAACCCTATGAATTCTATCCTGAGCATTTTCTTGATGCTGAAGGAAAATTTGTGAAAAGAGATGCGTTTATGCCTTTCTCTGCAGGTAATATTCTCCGTATATGTGTGATTTTGTCCAGTAATAGGCAGCCCTTCTTTGTGAAGAAACCTTCACAAGAGATCATGGAACAGTTAAAGAGCAACAACAACAACAACAATAAAACGTCCACTGAATGGGCTTCATTTAACAAAGTCTGATATAATTTTTGACCTTTTTGAGATGATCCTGGTACAAGACTGGCTTCAAAGTATTCAAAGGTGGGTAGTAAAAGGTATCAGTCTCTAGCTTTTTGCAATTCCTGTGAAGGATATTAGGGTTTTCATGTTGAAAAGAAGAATTAGTTTGAGGAGAAAAAAGACTTGATTATGTGGTGTCTGGGTGTAAACCAGCATCTATACCTGATATTGGCAAAGGGAAAGGGAAAATGAGATTGGATCTTTCCATACAATATACAGTAGTAGATATTATCAGTACATCACCAGAATTAAGGCAGAAAAGCATAGGAAAATGATTCCAGAGTTACCATGGGGTGAAATAGTATGTGCACTGAAGTTAGTGTGGTGTTAAGGAACATGGCATGGAACTGAAATCGGTTATCCAAATTATAGCCAACCTCAGAATGTAAATATATTTATGGCAATTTAATAAATGCCAGGTATTGTTAACAAACATTTTGTGAGGTTTTGAATGAATAGAATGAATGAATAGAAATGATAAAGACACATAGAAGAATGTTAAATCAACTTAATTAGGAAGCTTGCTACCACAGAATTGCAATGCCAATGGGACTTGAATCAATCCTCCAGTTCATCCACAAGGATCATTCTGGCAACCAACAATTTATGGAATTGTGGACTCCTTGGTGCTCTCTGAGTTTGGTTGTTTGCTTGAAGACATTTCACTGCACAAGCAGGTAACATCTTCAGTCTGAGTGATTGTAGGATTTGTTCCCTGTTTAAATCCAATAGCTTGCCCTGCCAGTGTTGGTGGGAATTTGGTTTTCTTCTGGGAAGTTCCTTGATTAGGGTACTGTTTACTGCTTGATTTTTTGTCTAATGTTAATCCATGTTTATTTTTTATTTATTTATGTGGTGGCTGTTGGAGGGCATGTATTCTGGGTTTTTGTTTGTTTGTTTCCTTCTTAGCTTTTTTATTGACTCTTTTAAATGCTGTGCCAAAGTGGTTTATCTCTATCTGTCTACTGATGACTGATTTATTTGAATGCCAAACTTCCAAGAATACCCGAGAACTTTGGAATTTTAGCTTAGTCTAGGATGCTCACACTTTCTCAGTTGAAACTTTGGTTGAGTCTGTCCATATGTTGTGAATTAAAGGAATTTCCTCTACTACAACATTTCCATCACTTTTAATATATTTCAGATAGTGTCTGAAGTATATATTTGATTGCCATTTGGATTTTACAGATGTTCCCTCCCCCACCCTCTACCTCAAATGATCTGTTCAATAGATGTATTCCTGCAATTGTAGTCATAATTCATTTTTAAGCAGTATACATTTTTCTGCAATAGTTCCACATACATCTATATGTATTTATCTGTTTGAATAAATTATTAATTGGGTTGTAAATAAAAGAAATAATAATAATAGAAACAATCCCGTTTTCTATGCTGCTTAATGTCCATGTTTCCACTTGTATTGTATCTTCATCAAGCATATTTTGACATTGTTTTTACGTTGAAGTGGTCATACGGTATCCAGTTGCCAAGGTTTAAGTTTTATTCCAAAGGATCCCAATGAAATATGAAGAAAAAACCACTATGTCATTGGCAGAAGAGAATACATATTATATAGTCCAAGACAAGGCTCAGGAGTAAGTTCAAAACTTTGTAACACTTGAAATAATGAGGTTGACAGGCAGCCAGTTATGTTACCAGGCTAGTTGTTTAAACTGGGATAAAAGATTGAATTAGAACCACTGATGGCTGGATTGATCAAATTTACACTCAATATTATATTCAGAAAAAAATTGGTATAAGATGCTGTACTTATGGTTGGTTGCCAAAGTAAACAATTCATTCTTTATTGCACTGTTAGAAATAAAAATAATCAGCTGGATGATTTTTTTTTCAT